GTTTTGGAGCTACTTGTGCGACTTGCAACTGCTTACCAGAATTACCTGGACAAGATCGACGTGGCACTGCAGGTATGGGGGGGATGTGAGTTTGCGGGGGCGGGGGAGGGGCTGGCAGGCTGCGGGGTATTGGGCGTAGCTGGGTCAGGGATATGAACGCATCATCGGGTCTGAGGGATCCCAACAGGAGATGTGTACGGAAGCTGCCGAAGTGGGGAAGGAGAGGATGGGTGGTGCCACCACCACAACAACCGTCACAACCGCCACCTCTCCCCCGACCTCTCTCCCCCCACCCCTCCTCCAACACCCCTCCCCACCCCCACCCCTTCCCCCCACCTATCCCCAGGAGTTGCTGGCGTGTGTGGATCGAGATGAGAAGGGCACTCTGACCGCTCTTCTCCGGAGGTTCAGTCGGCCAGTGAAGCTCAAAGATGGGGGGCCCAGCAAGAAGGGGGGGAAGCCCTCTACCGCGGGGCCGGGGGCGGGCGGCGGCGGTGATGACGCTGCAGCGGCCGCAGAGGGTGGTGACGTGCCAGTCGAGGACGTAGACAGCGATGAGAGCTTCAGTGAGGGCGAGGGAAGCACTGCAGGGAAGGACGGCAAAGGAGGAGCGAAGCAGGCGGTGGAGGGCAGTAGTACAATGGCGGCATCGGTGACGGGCGGTGCCACTGGGGGTGGCGGTACGGCAGCGGTGGTGGTGGCAGCGGGAGGTCCTCAGCTGCAGCAGCTGCAGCTGCAGGAGGAGGAGGAGGGGGCTCAGGGGGACAAGGACGGCAAAGGCGGGAGGAGGGACAAGGGCGGCCGTTTCAAGCGGCTCACACACCCGGCTATTCACCATGTCAGGCCATTGCTCAGTGTACGGCAGCTGGCGCGGTACGGTGCGGGTGCTGAGGTGGAGGTGTGTCTCCGCAAGCCCGCTGCCCACCTGGCCGCACTGGCCTTCCTGGCGAACATTTGCAGGTGCGTGCAAGGGGTTGGAGCTGGAAATGTATAGCAGCTGAGAGTGGGGGTGGGGTGGGGGTGGGGGTGGGGTGGGTGGGGATATTCCATGTGTGTATTTGTGTGTGTGTTTCCAAGG